CTGATCCTAACAAACAGACAACATTGTCAGTCAGCTTTCTGCTTGGGGAGTAAGTATTATGTAATCATTTTGTATATTATATTGTAGCATGTTGTAGCTTTGAAAACTATAAACATTTGGTGATACCGAAGTGAAAGTGAATATGTGAATGAGTAAACATTTAGACATGCATCTAGTCTAGTCTAGTCTAGTCTAGTCTAGTCTAGTCTAGTCTAGTCTAGTCTAGTCTAGTCTAGTCTAGTCTTGTCTAGTCTAGTCTAGTAGTTTAGTCCAAGGCTGGTCTGGTGAAGTAGTCTAGTAGTGTAGTCCAGTCGTCTTGTCAAATCTACCATTGGTAGTTTGTCTATTCTAGTCTAGTTGTGTTATGTCTAATTATGTGTAGTCTAGTCTAGGACTGGTCTGGTGAAGAAGTCAAGTTATGTGCAGTCTAGTCTAGTCTAGTTTAGTTTAGTATAGTCTAGTTGTGTCTTATTGAGTTTTGAGGTATGCTTGGTGGCTGAAATGACAAACCTTGGCTGACATTCAGTTTATTAAGCAATATATTCAATAATTTTTTTTTCTAGTGTTACAGATACATTCAATTCATTTACAGCCAGTATAATTGGGTCATTGCTGACAGCGGGACCCACATCACCATTCTATCAAGCACTGATAGACGCTAATATTGGTGCCGATTATTCACCGGTTGTAGGGTGAGTTTTACACTAATCTGCAAGTTGTAGATAATTAATTACCTTTTTGTTTCAATCAGTTTTAGAGACATGTTTACCTGTATGCTTGATAATTGAACCGTGTCATTTCATTATATAGAGATTATAAATGGGAAAATAAGGATATTAGGTAGCGGATATACTAAGACCTCTCTGGGGAAAAAAAGCATATTTGGCGGAAGATAATATCACCTAGCGATATGCTCGCACAAGAAATACCCTACAAAATAGCTGTTTTATGTCACATTGCTATGTGTAAATTTCTAAATCTCCCAATGTCTTTCCTCAGTTTATACTACTATTGTGAGGGATGATGAAGAGGCTTTTTTAAAAAAAATAATAATTCTGAAAACGTAATATTCCGATTTTCGTTATAATCATCACATATTGATTTCCATGTGGATTTGGGATTTTATTTGTGGAAACTGGCATTCTAAATACAGTTTCAGGGGTCAGAATTTACCCGTCATGTAGTGTGTGTTTTATATTTTGTATTCAAATTCCAAGGCTAGAACACTTCCCAACAAGTGCATAGATGGGCGAGGCACATGACAAAATCAACAAAAATTCTAGTACTGTGGAATACTTTATTTTCGCTGGAATTAATTTTCGCTGAAAAGGCTTTTGGGGCATTTTGTATGGAATTTATTTTCACTGATTTTTTATGAGTTTAATGTGAAATATAGGAAAAAAAGTATATTTGCTGGGTTTTATTTTCACGGAATCATCCCTTCAGCGAAAATAGCGAAAATAAATTCCAAGCGAAAATAAAGTACCGGTATTCTACAGTATATTTCAACAGACTAGCATTAACAGCGATCATACCCCATTTCTCCACATAAACAAAACAAAAAATTAGCAAAACAAAAATGTTTTTAGTTGTGATTCTTCATATTCACGCAGCTTTATGAAATGCTATACTATCATATTTTTGGAAATAATAATTTGTTTCCCTGTTTTGATCAATTGATCACATGCCCGCAATCACAGTGAACAGTTCTCACAGTGATACTGATTCAGTAAGAGGCCAGA